GGGCATTAGACGCTGAAGCCTCTAAATGCCACAAATGAACCGACATATTTAGCAGCACAGCCAGCAGCAGGTTCACGGTGGAGAAGTGGGGCAGATAGCTACACAGCAACATGGCAGCAGTAATGAGGGGCAGAACGATCGCTGGTTCCACGGGCAGATCCCGGGGAAGTAAGCATGGAGTGTAAGAGGAGAGACGTTTGCAAGGATTGATGTTAGGAATTCATGTTCAGGCTGCAGTTTTATTTTAGGTTAACAGCTGAAGTTCAACATTTTAGCTGTAAAAGGCCACGTGCAGTGGGGAATAAGAAGCATGTTGTGGTTTTACGTAGAAAGGTTGGTAGTAGTGTTCAGGTAATGCTCACACACACATCTTAAATACAGAAGTTACGTTTGTAATGTTGCATTTCCATTTAGATGTGGTTTATTAGTGCAGTAAGAGGATTAATTACTGCATTAATTATTAAGCTTATACAGCGTTTAAGACAACATATAGTCAGCATTAGCGCTGTTGCTATAATTTTGATGGCTTGACCACATATTTTTGCTGCCGATGACTTTGGGCCGGGCCCAGTCAAGGTCCAGGGCTGTTTTTTAGTCCCAGTGTGTCCCTGCGGCCCGCTATCGTCAGCGCTCACAGATTAGTGGACAGCACGCCGAGGAGCTGAGAGCAGCTCGGAGCGCGTCTGTGGGTCACAGGTCAGCGCAGCAGAACCACAAGAACTCATGCAGGAAGATTTCCACTCAAGTGAGTGTTTTCCAGGCCTGGACACCCTGTCCATGTGCGGGACTAGAGCTGTTTAGTAAGGAAGAAGGGTCCGATCTAAAGTTAATAAGAGACTGTTGGTCTTTTCATGCTGCTAATGTATTTATGGATGAAATGGTGTCCTCACACCTCTACCTACTGTAGAACATCATGGTCACAGGCGTCCACCACTAAGCCAACAAGAGGGACCTATATTAGATCTTTAAACATCTCCCAGAGGACCGGTCACAGCGCCAGCCTGGCCCGCCAAACTCCTCCTCTGGTTAATTCTGCACAGAGGCTCTTATTGACCCTTTGCACCGACGTCACCTAATCACGTGGGTCCGCCTCGCTGGACGGCAGACGCGTGTAAACAGCGAGCGACACGAGTACTAAACAAAGGGAAAAGTAGAGCCTGAAATTGTTTATTCGATCTTCAGCATTCCCTCTCCCAGTTCAAGCTCAGTTCAGTTATCGGAAGAAGTGGCGCACCTAGACGGGGCTCAAAGAGAGCGGTATTTACAAAAGTTACGTGTTATTGACTAGCTTACGAACGTTAGCGTAAGCTCTCTTTGCAGTTGTTCACCGAAGTAAACAAGCTGCCTACTTAGCCTAAATTCACCCGACTGGATTGCTAACATTATGTTATAAACAGCGTTTCACTTTCCACCGAAGCTGAGTAAAGTCCCCGGATCCCCACCAGCTTCTGTTGCTGGTGGTGTCATCGGGTTCAGCTGCTGCTCTCACCGAGATGAGACAGGATCTCTCTTAACGGCGACGCTCGTACTAAACAACGTCATTTTAACACACGTAATCATACACTGGAGCAATATTGTAATTAATTATCTCGCATTTTACTAGAGTAGACAGTACCGCGCGTCCTCCATGGTGGAATATCCATCCATCAGAGGAACGCATCACATTTGTCCCCATCTGCCCCATGACATGAATAACCGTTAACCGTACCCGGTAAAAACACGTTGGCTGTAAACCTGAGGGCTGCTAGTCCGTCTGATTGGTCGCTGCCGTTCATCTCCGTCCTCGGTCTTTAAAGGCTACAGACGGGCTTGTTTTGACTAGCTTCACCGGAGTTTCAACGTGTGTAAACGGTCTCTCTGCCATCCATCATGGTGAACGCGGCGGTCCCATGAGTGGCGTGACGTCACGTGCAAAGGGTCAATTCAAATAGCCCCACCCCCTGAGAACCGAGCCAATCAGCGCTGAGTAGCGTACGTCACACACCATAACGCCGAGTTTGCCATAAACATGGCGACTGTAGCGGAGTTCGCTGCGGCTCCTTCCTCTGTCCTAAATGACTCGGACACGTCTGTAAATCAAGTAGAAGCGCTGAAAGCCTTTCTCCTAAAGAAAGACGTCTACGCCGTCGCCAGACGCCATTTTTAACTACAGCTAAAAAACGACAGCATTGCGCGGTACAGTCGGCATTGCCGTCTTGTTTCTGATTGGTTATTTTTGAGCTGGCTAGCCCCGCCCCTCAAGTGCCTCTCTGCCTGTAAGCTACCAGACTCTCTGTGTGCAGAGGTCAACAGAGGACGGGTCTGGCCGGCCAGGCTAGGACAGCACACCCCTGGGAAGTGCTGAAGGGCTCAATTATTGAAGTTTTGAACATTTTATACGATTTAGCCTGCCATAAATGATCTATGTTATCATTATCACGCTCCTGATGCTTTAGCACAGCTAGTAGTGCGGCTGAGAGGAGCGGGCTCCGTTAGGGTTGGGGGTGTGAAGCCACAGGCAGAACCGACTAGCTTTAAAAAGTAAACTGAAGCAAAGCTTTAAGCGCTGACCAGCTCTGCGTCACTTCTAGGAACTGTTCAGTTTTTTATTGCTAACCATCACTTTGACAGTGGATGTATGAGCTGTTTGTGTGTAATCGAGTCTTTCTACAGAACCGTCTAAGGATGGACTATGACATAGCGTGTTACCTGCTTGTCCCGATCAAACTAAACTAAACTCTCATTACAGCTGCAGGACGCCTTTAGAGGCTGTTCTTTCTGCTGACGGAGGATCTACTAGCATTAGCTTGTCTCGTGTACGCACCTGTCTACGTTTGTTAAACCACTGTAGCACTTCCTGTAAACCGCCGTTTCACTTGTCAGACATCGCTGTGCGCGTCTCCTGTGTGAGGTATTTAAGTGACTTAGCTGATCCAACCAGTGGTTTACGGAGGAAAACCAGAAACCTAGGAGAGTGGCCCAAACGGTTTCACCGCTGTGCATGTAACTGTGACTGGACCGGGCCTAGGTTCTGGACCAGATGTTTACCTTGCTGCTTGCAGAAGAAATAATGGTCCTTGTCTTTGGTTTAAAACGCCCGAAGAACCAAAACTATTTCTGGACTCTGGACTCAGACGCCGCAGAGCGCTGCTCTCTGAGCCAATCAGCAAAGAGCTCTGACCCACGCTGCTGACTAAACAGCTGATGTGAGTTTATTCTCCTCAGAATCTTCAGAGATGTGACTTTACCCTGGTTATCTCCACCGTCCGGATGTCCACGTCTACACACACACACACACACACACACACACACACACACACACACACACACACACACACACACACACACACACACACACACACACACAAAGGGTCAGTGGACAGCTGGAGCTCTGATCATCAGTCAGGTGTTCTACTGTGCTCTCATCTACCTGAGCTGCTCTCACAGGAGGAAGTGATGTCACAGCTGGACTCTGTCTGGTTGGAGGTGGGAGGGTCCGGTGAGGCTGCGAGATGTGGAAGGGTTGGAGCCACAACACCTGAGCTTTGTGTGCTGGTGTGACTCACCTGAAAGCAAGCAGAATTTACTAAAGGTCACTCCAAATCTTCTCCAGAAGCTGAACTGGACCTCAGGAAGGATTTGCTGGCAGATCAGAACCAGCCTTTGTCTCTATGTCTGGTCTAACAAGGTGACGACGCCTGAAAAGATCTTGACCCGGTAACACAAGCTCACCTGACTTGCCTGTGAACTGTGTCTGGATGAAATCCATGAAGAAGCTTTGAGACGGCCAAGCTCCAACAGAACCGGACCCCGAACGCACTGCAGAAAGAACCAAACCACAGCAGGTGAAAGGATCTGAGCCCTAATCCTAAACACAATCTGGTGTTTGTCTGTAAAGAGCTTGAAAAATAAAGTTCTAGTCCATTCGAGTGGTTCCGAGTTACACATCTGGATCACTGCTGCTGCTAATGGTCTCCTAGAGCTTACAACCAGCAGCTCTGTCCACTCTCACCTGCTCTCCGGTGTAAATACGTCATGTTGTGATGGCCGCTTTGAGACAGTTAGTTCTGAGAAACGTTGCTTTAGCACATCCTTAGCTTAGACACTGTCGTGTAAGAAAGGCAGTGCATGCCTAAAGGTCATCAGTGTGTTAAAGGTCATCAGTGTGTTAAAGGTCATCAGTGTGCTAAAGGTCATCGGTGTGTTAAAGGTCATCGGTGTGCTAAAGGTCATCGGTGTGTTAAAGGTCATCAGTGTGCTAAAGGTCATCAGTGTGCTAAAGGTCATCGGTGTGCTAAAGGTCATCGGTGTGCTAAAGGTCATCTGTGTGCTAAAGGTCATCAGTGTGCTAAAGGTCATCTGTGTGCTAAAGGTCATCGGTGTGCTAAAGGTCATCGGTGTGCTAAAGGTCATCGGTGTGCTAAAGGTCATCTGTGTGCTAAAGGTCATCAGTGTGCTAAAGGTCATCAGTGTGCTAAAGGTCATCTGTGTGCTAAAGGTCATCTGTGTGCTAAAGGTCATCAGTGTGCTAAAGGTCATCTGTGTGCTAAAGGTCATCAGTGTGCTAAAGGTCATCAGTGTGCTAAAGGTCAACGATGTACTACAGGTCAACAATGTGCTACAGGTCATCAGTGTGCTAAAGGTAATCAGTGTGCTAAAGGTCAACGATGTACTAAAGGTCAACGATGTACTAAAGGTCAACGATGTACTAAAGGTCATCAGTGTGTTAAAGGTCATCAGTGTGCTAAAGGTCATCAGTGTGTTAGAGGTCATCAGTGTGCTACAGGTCATCTGTGTGCTACAGGTCATCTGTGTGCTAAAGGTCATCAGTGTGCTAAAGGTCATCAGTGTGCTAAAGGTCATCTGTGTGCTAAAGGTCATCAGTGTGCTAAAGGTCAACGATGTACTACAGGTCAACAATGTGCTACAGGTCATCAGTGTGCTAAAGGTAATCAGTGTGCTAAAGGTCAACGATGTACTAAAGGTCAACGATGTACTAAAGGTCAACGATGTACTAAAGGTCATCAGTGTGTTAAAGGTCATCAGTGTGCTAAAGGTCATCAGTGTGTTAGAGGTCATCAGTGTGCTACAGGTCATCTGTGTGCTAAAGGTCATCGGTGTGCTAAAGGTCATCAGTGTGCTAAAGGTCAACAATGTACTACAGGTCAACAATGTGCTACAGGTCATCAGTGTGCTAAAGGTAATCAGTGTGCTAAAGGTCAACGATGTACTAAAGGTCAACAATGTACTAAAGGTAATCAGTGTGTTAAAGGTCATCAGTGTGTTAAAGGTCATCAGTGTGCTAAAGGTCATCAGTGTGCTAAAGGTCATCAGTGTGTTAGAGGTCATCAGTGTGCTAAAGGTCATCGGTGTGCTAAAGGTCATCAGTGTGCTAAAGGTCAACGATGTACTACAGGTCAACAATGTGCTACAGGTCATCAGTGTGCTAAACGTAATCAGTGTGCTTAAGGTCAACGATGTACTAAAGTTCAACAATGTACTAAAGGTCATCAGTGTGTTAAAGGTCATCAGTGTGCTAAAGGTCATCAGTGTGCTAAAGGTCATCAGTGTGTTAGAGGTCATCAGTGTGCTAAAGGTCATCGGTGTGCTAAAGGTCATCAGTGTGCTAAAGGTCAACTGTGTGCTAAAGGTCATCAGTGTGCTAAAGGTCATCAGTGTGTTAGAGGTCATCAGTGTGCTACAGGTCATCTGTGTGCTAAAGGTCATCGGTGTGCTAAAGGTCATCAGTGTGCTAAAGGTCAACAATGTACTACAGGTCAACAATGTGCTACAGGTCATCAGTGTGCTAAAGGTAATCAGTGTGCTAAAGGTCAACGATGTACTAAAGGTCAACAATGTACTAAAGGTAATCAGTGTGTTAAAGGTCATCAGTGTGTTAAAGGTCATCAGTGTGCTAAAGGTCATCAGTGTGCTAAAGGTCATCAGTGTGTTAGAGGTCATCAGTGTGCTACAGGTCATCTGTGTGCTAAAGGTCATCGGTGTGCTAAAGGTCATCAGTGTGCTAAAGGTCAACGATGTACTACAGGTCAACAATGTGCTACAGGTCATCAGTGTGCTAAACGTAATCAGTGTGCTTAAGGTCAACGATGTACTAAAGGTCAACAATGTACTAAAGGTCATCAGTGTGTTAAAGGTCATCAGTGTGCTAAAGGTCATCAGTGTGTTAGAGGTCATCAGTGTGCTAAAGGTCATCGGTGTGCTAAAGGTCATCAGTGTGCTAAAGGTCAACTGTGTGCTAAAGGTCATCAGTGTGCTAAAGGTCAACGATGTACTACAGGTCAACAATGTGCTACAGGTCATCAGTGTGCTAAAGGTAATCAGTGTGCTAAAGGTCAACGATGTACTAAAGGTCAACGATGTACTAAAGGTCAACGATGTACTAAAGGTCATCAGTGTGTTAAAGGTCATCAGTGTGCTAAAGGTCATCAGTGTGTTAGAGGTCATCAGTGTGCTACAGGTCATCTGTGTGCTAAAGGTCATCGGTGTGCTAAAGGTCATCAGTGTGCTAAAGGTCAACTGTGTGCTAAAGGTCATCAGTGTGCTAAAGGTCAACGATGTACTAAAGGTCAACGATGTACTAAAGGTCATCAGTGTGTTAAAGGTCATCAGTGTGCTAAAGGTCATCAGTGTGTTAGAGGTCATCAGTGTGCTACAGGTCATCTGTGTGCTACAGGTCATCTGTGTGCTAAAGGTCATCAGTGTGCTAAAGGTCATCAGTGTGCTAAAGGTCATCTGTGTGCTAAAGGTCATCAGTGTGCTAAAGGTCAACGATGTACTAAAGGTCAACGATGTACTAAAGGTCATCAGTGTGTTAAAGTGTTGCAAGCCCGAGCAACCAGTCAAGGCTTAGAAACAGTGGTCAGAGACAAGGGTCACACAAGGGTCAAGAGGACAGGAGTTCAGGACTTGCTGGTGAGGACAGAACTAGGCAAAAGGTCAAAAGACAAGCTGTCTTCTCTAGATCCACCCATGGACACACCCCTGGGCCCGCCCCTAACTCCACCTCTGGCGGGAAAAGAAGGAATGGCATGGAGTGAGGAGAAGCCCAGCTGGACCCAGGAGCTCTCAGGAATGCTGAAAGAAGATCTACAATTTGCTACCAATATGAAGATTTATGACCTGTGCTCTCATTCCAGGAGTGCAGAATGTAACTTTTGTGCCCTCATGTGAATACTGCATGTAGTGAAATGATACTAAATGTCTTATGTAGAGCTAAAAAAGTGTATCTGGTAGATGACCCCTTGACCTAAACTGTCAGGAGAGAATGACTTGTGACTCTTGCATTGTTTAGAGCAGTCTCAGAAATGATATAAAAGGATGCAGCTCAGATCGAGCGGGAGTCTGGTTCCTAGAGAGAGGGCTTCAGGCTTCGTTCTTGGGGAGATTCTGAGAAGACGAGAGCTGGTGTAAACTGACTCTCATTTAATCATTTTGAACTAATTCCTCCGTGGGGGATAGTAGTTGTTTTTTACTTTACCCATTTTTGTATTTTGATTTTGTAATAAACCTTTTTTGAAAAAGAAACATAATCCTGATTCTTTCAGGTTTTCTCTAAAGCTTCACGTTTGGAGCCCTGGCCATAATTGCACAGAGGTAAGCATGTCGAAGATCGGTCTCTGAATTATCAGGACTTACTTTACAGTTTATAACAGAATAATATAAAGAAACCTTAAGATAAGGGAAGTTTTAACTTCTCTCCCCTTGCGAGTAACGAGTTGTCTTAAGGGTGATAAAAGCAAAATATTCGAGGTTATTTTGGCTCTGATTGCAGGTTGAAAAAGTCTCTAATCAGCTGGAAGGTTGGATTAATAAATAAATTGATAAACTTATGTTAGCCTGATCAACTAGCATAAATCATTTTATAGTTACCAACCTCCCACATAAGCTGTTAGGGGCGCAATTAATTCCGGGTAGCCCAAACAATTGCTGAGAGGCTTGGCTTGCCTCCAGACTTCTCTCTAGTATCTTAACCAAAAGGTAACGAGTTTAAAAGAAGTGTAGCACTCTGAGGCTGGCTATTCGTGCAAGTCATTTCACCTTTAAAATAAAAGACAAGATTCTAATTAGATAGTCCAAACCCGGATCTGGTACGATTATACTCGTCGATACACCCCCGAACCCTGATGGATGCACCGTCTCATAAGTTCTAACGGAACTGGGTTTTAAAGGAACCGGTAAATGGGACGGGCACGCGACATGGCGCCTGCAACGTGAGGCTAATCGGCGAAGGTTTAAATATTAGATACCGGACTATTCGACGTAGAACTATGTCTTTTAGGCTGATAAAAGCTTACGCACAATGGACCTGATAAGCTTATAACCTTGGAGCGAAAACCGCACCAATTTCTCGAAAAGGAAAGAAATTTGGGAGAACGGACGATTAACTCAAAGAGGTATAAAGAAATCACGGCTTTCCGACGTAAGAAAAGCCAAGGATAAAAGCTAGGCAAAAAATAAAAAGGAATAAAGAGTAAAAATAAAGAATAAGACGTGAAAACGAATAAAAATAAAACAAATAATAAATAAGAGAAACTTTCAACCAGCCATGGCAGATAGATCTTTAACGGTAAAACCGGAAAATGTTCTCCTTAATGTGAGATTTGTCACCGGAGAAATAGCGACATTTCAAGGTGAACCACAAAGCGTTTTAGCAGTATCCTGTAACCGGAGCTTTCAGAACAAGGCCGAAACGGCTCAAGCCGCAGCGGAGCGCTGTCCGAATGCTGAAACTCAAGTAAAGAATAATCATGTATTTCCGTTAGTGGGTGATTTGGTGATTCTAGCAGAACAACAAAATGATCCTGTTTTTAATCAGATAGCGTGGTGTTGTTGGGAAAATCCAGCAAAACTCCCCACGGGCGAGCAGTATGAGATCCTTCTGGGATTACTTGAGCAAATACCAATTGGACCGGAACCTTTAGTTCTCACTCCATTTGGAGTCGGGCAGTACCGATGTGATCAGGGAGCGATGTACTCTGCTATGGCGGAGTTCGTGGTTCAACGGGCTAATAGTAGAACAATTTACTTCTTATCTAGAAGCAAAAATGAGGCAATTCAAATGAGACAGGCGTTATGTAACCGACTGGGGAACGACGGAGGAAAGCTTTAAGCTCTGAAATCAGTACAGGAAAAGTTACATTAGCTGGGTGTTTGGGAACAATCGCAGGGCTTTCCCAAGTACAGCAGGAAAAACTTTTAGCTGATCTGCCCGGGGGATTAATGATGGCTGCGATGTGGCCTAATCTCTCCCCTGCAGAAAAAATCAGACAAGCGCAGGCGTGGGATCGCACGAGGGAATTTAAGCAGTCAAAAAACGAATTAGGACGGCAGGCCGGAAACAGATTGAAAGGTCAGATACCATCCCCTCTGCCCCCTCCACACCAACAGCAAGGGAGCCAATCAGTGAGTTCTCAACCGAGGCAACTCCCACCCAGAACAGAACCGAATCAGAACCAGAGAACCAGGGGCCAAATGGACCCAAATGCAAGGCCGTTTTTCATGGGACCCCCCGGCTGCCCTGTGGCAATCCCAGAGAGCAGAAAAAGGAGACGAGACAAATCCTATAGTTTATGGCATTAGAGGACTAAATAAGAAAAGCCGTCCAGTACAGATGAAATATTATGACCCTCAGGCACCTCCTAACATAGGCCCAGTTAGACCGGTTCCAGAACCAGGACGAGGCCAGTTTGCAATTAATACAGAGGGAGACCAGAATTATGCAGGAGAAGAAGCAGAAAATCCTTTTCCAGACTGGTACCCTGTAGATGGCTTCACGGCTTCAGCAATTCAAGCAGCAAAAAGTAGGGAAGAAGTCATGTTGCAACCAGGATGGAGGACCTGAATTTAAGAATGACAAAGTTTCTTGTCTGCTTGAATCAAGAGGGATAAGACACAATTTTTCTATCCCATACGAGTCCCACACTAACGGAATAGCAGAAAGAGCAGTTAGGACGATAAAAGATCACATCCTGACTAACCTGAGCTCCCGATGGGATACACCGGAGGGAGTTTCAGAACTAAATGTGATCCTTAATATGACGAAACTGAAAAGAACTGAGAAAAAAACTAACCCGGAACACGTCTCTGTGTTACAGAAAGGTGAAAGAATTTGGGTCAAAAGAGGACCGGTTCGAAAAGGAGATTGCATTAAGCATAACGTAAGTGGTCCCTTCATAATAAAAGACGTAACTGGGAACGTGGTTTTAACTGACACAGGTTTGCGCGTTCACCCTCATCAAGTTATAAAATAACTCTGAAAAATAAAAGTAATTAATTGAAAAAATAAATAAATAAATAAATGATTTTTTTTTAATTAATTACTTGATTAAAGGTCATGGCTGGGCCAAAATCTAGTGAAGAAATGACTTGTAAGATCTCAGGTGCTACGGGCCTAATTTTGCTAACGAAGGGGAATTCTGTTAGAGATTGTAAAGTGGCTATGTTTCCGGGCTTCATAGAATCTGCAAATGCGTATCGTTACGCGCAATGGGGAGGCTTGAAGCCGGGAACATGCGTGATATGCAAATCTCTGTGCACCCTAATTAAATGGTCGGGGCTCCGGGAGCAGAAGCCCACTCACCTGGAGAGAGGAACAGACTTGCATACAGGTGCGGTGGAGCTGTCTGCTCCCATTAAAATATGTTTTTGCGGGACCTGCTTGAGGAATAATCCAGGCATCATCTCCTGGCAGGTCTGTGAATGCACCCACAGAGGTGAAATCAAAGATGGGTGCTGTTTCACGAAGAATGGTGTTTTGACTACCTGCTTACCGACAAGCCAGCCAAGTATGTTTTTTGTAGGAGAGCTGCTCAGGAATCCTAGCCTGGTGAAGCCGGTTAGAGATTTATGGGTGGAAGCTTATCCATTTGTGTTCAAGCTCAAGACCAGAGAAAAAGGACTGGAAGAGCTTCAGGCTCGGTCCAAATTTGAGTCTATTAAGAGCTTGATATTAGGACAACAATTTGGTACGCTGGCTGATGCATGGGAAACAGGTACACAGATTGGGGTAACTCAAGAGTATAAAGACGACAGATGGGGAACTTATCTGTCAGGGACTCTGGACTGGCATACAGGATTGTCTGTTCAGGAGCCCCCAGGGATGCGTAAGCGTGTTACATCATACCTGGTTGAGCTGAAGAGTCTTGGACCAGGGGCGGAGCGTAAGTTCATGCCTTATCAGTTAACTTTGATAGAGGTAATAGACCTGTCGGGTCGCGTTTGCAGCTCGGCTGTTAACATAGTGACCACCCGGAGAGGAGAGGCATATTGGCCTAAGATTTATGGGACTGCTCACACTAGAATGTCTCGTAGAAGGCTGGTCCCCAATCTGACTCTACCTAACTAGAGCAGGGCGCTTTCGTTTCCTGCTGATTTTTATGCTTCTGTCTTACAGATGTTATCTACGCAGAAGCATAAGAGGGAAAGCAGCAGAAAACGAAAAGTGGTCAGGTATGCAACTCCGGCGGGAGTTGACCCCAAAGTTAAAAAGAGAAATGTAAATATTCCGAAAGGAAAGGATTGGATAATAAAATGGATTAAATGGGCCTTTTTTATCCTTTTCGAATTTAGCCTCATAGGATTAAGTATAGCGATTGCATATGGGGTACATGTATATCTCCGAACGTATCATGTGTCCTCAGTGACATATAACATAACTCACGGAGGACCGCAACAATTAATAGGGAATTGGAATGTATCCAAAATTAAGCTGTTATGGCCCAAAGAAGATTTTAATGAGAATATAACCACCTGCATGATAGCAACACAGATTGGATTCAAGATTTGTAGTGTAACAGGGAACAAAACTGGCTGCCTGCGCTTGCCCTGTGGAGAAAATGGATTTGACCGGATCATGGCTACACCCTCCGTGACATCATTTTCTGCAGCAGAGCAGGAGGAGAAGAATGACACGGAGTGTGGTGAGACCGACCCATGGGCGGAGTATATGGCAGTCTTAATGGATCAGACAGGATCCACAGAGCTTGATCGATCTTGTCAGATAATATTGAGGAAAAAGAAAATCTTAAATCAAACTTCAGGTGAAGTAGAGTTGTGGGTTTACAAATATTGCCTTAGAAATAATTTAGAATGGGGACACAACTTCACCACTTTCAAAGTGATAAAGATAGAAAGATGGTGGCCTCGTAGAATCGAATTTGGGTGTTTTCAGACCAAAGACAGTAGTTTAAGTTCCTGGCAAACAGGAAATATTACGCATTGGTATCAAAGATTATCAAGAGGGAGGGAACGAAGAGATGTTTGCCCGACCCCCCCTCCTAACACAACACTAAAATATGATTCCTTGTCCATGATAGGAGAGAGTAACATGTGGCAGAAAGTAAAAGATAATGTGATTAAATGGTTATCAAAAGTACCCCCTGCAATGTCTGATCCCCTGGCTGAGGCAGAGGAAGGTGAAGAGACCGTTCCTCTCTTTCTAGAGCCCGGTATGCGGGGTAAGAGATCTACTTCAGACTTAGCTCGACTCTTACGTAAAGGTCATAGTGAATATGCAAACTACACAGGATATCAGAATTATATACTTCCCACTAATAGTACATATTTTAACTGGACATTTTTCTGCCTCCATAATGAGGTAGGCCTTCAGCCACAAGGATGGGAACTGCATCCAATACGACACACTCTTTATACAGAATGGGTTTATGAGGTTCCTAATTTTAAACACCCAAAAGTAGTGCAATGGATGAAAAAGGATCAATCTGATCCCACTAACTTAGATACAGGATTTCATGCATGGAATGAAGAAACTAGACTCTGTTTAACCAGGAAAGCGAATAATAGCGCTGTATGGCAAGGAGGCGAGCCACTTAGAATAAGGATCGCAGGAGCATATTATCAAAAAGGTACAGCTACTCCTGATAGTATAATTGAGGCAGACTCCATCTTCGAAGCAGTAAATGAAATGATTAGACCAACCCATAAGAAAGATTTTTATCACAGTCCCACATGGGCTAGAAATTACACCGTAATGCTTGAAGGATGTCAGGTGGAAGTCTGTAATAATACTAAAGGGTTAACTAGAAGGATGTGTATTTTTTGGTATTCACAACTATATGGATTAACAGTTGGAGGTCTGCGTCCAGACACATTAGGAGATCGAGAGTTTTTTAAACCTAGGCCTCCTTATCTAAACATAGCTACTTTAGGAACTGGAGAATTATGCTATAAAGTCTTACGAGGTTATATGCAAAGAGATATTCCAGAAGATTATAGATATTATAGAAAAGGAATGTACGAGACATATCCTATGACATACTGGTATGGAGAGGGATATAATAAGCAAAAATATGATTATTACCCCCAGGACACAAGGATTGAAGCAGAAACCTTTGAAAGAAAATTAGTGGGAACTAAAACTCTTGTGATGGAACATGGTCAACTTCGAGTTAAAACAAATTGGTTTTCTATTGATAAAACAAATACTTGGGAAGTAAATGATACAAAAACAGGAAATGGTCTTTTAGATCGTATAATGATTATGAATGATAAAGTTGGAGACTTAGTGCCACCTGGATTTACAGCGCCAGGAACGACGAAATGGGGAGCGTTTAGTCTGGTCAATTTCAATTACCTTAACGGGTTAGGCATAGACCATCATGTGTGTTTTAATGAACCGAGAATAGGGAAAAATCCTCAACCTGAAAGATTCACAATTGACCCTGATGCACCCAAAGAGTTTCCTAACTTCAGAAATTTCCCAAATTGGGATCTGAGAAGTGGTTTTTGCTCACCATTTCGAAGATCGTTAGATCAGCAAAAAGCTGACTGGTTTGATTATTTTGCATATGGCATAAATGGCACATTACGTCATGTGAGTCTGATAGTACGTGGTGTGAATGAAATTATGAGTGACAGTGTAGTGCAGGTTTCTAACAATGTAATTCAAGGAACTTCTGATTCAATGGGCATGTTGGTAAAAGGAGTGAGAGAGCACATCATTAGGCCTGTCTGGGATGCTCTGTTCTGGCCTCTGTGCGCTCTAGGATTAATGTGTGGGGTGATTATTTTAATAATCGGTATGATTTTGGCCTGTAAAAACAACAAATGGCAGTTGACAGGAAGAAAGCTGTTAGGAGAAAGGAGAAAGGACCTGGTAGATCCAGATAAGATGGGAAGAGAGGTGTCAAGGTAGAGGGAGTATTAGCCCCCCTTCTTGTTGCTCCTGTTTAAGTGCAGGCCTCTCTGCACCGCGTGTCACTTGCTCCTTAACTGTCAGTCTGTAACTTGAAGTGAACCAATGGCTCATCAAACTCACCCTGAATCTGAGCTGATTGACGCTCTGAATCTGGAGGTATGTCAGGATTTTGTAACTATTTTATCCAGTTTGTCTTTAAGATGTTGTAGACATTTCATAACTGGTGTACACTTGTTGTGAGGATTATTGTTGTAAAACTATGCCTGCAGATAGGAATTGTAGTGTGGTTCTTCCTGCAGCTTCTGATGATTTATTTTCTCCTATAATTAAGAAATGTTTATGCAGTATTCCAGTTACTTATTGCTTCATGGAATGAGTTATATATCTCATGTGGAACATATTTTATGTTCCTTCCAGATGGACTCGATTCGGCAGAATATCATAGAGGGATTAATCCCCTCCGCAGGTCCATCAACTGTTTTCTCTCTGAATGGCGCATACTATTTGTGCACCGTGAATCACGGGAGGGATGGATTGCCTCAGACTAAGACAATCGGGCTCCAGTGTGAACATGCTACGATGAATAAACGCTGCGTGTCTTGCAGGTTTATTCAGTACATCCAGACCAAATGGAAAAGGGATTCAAGCGGGAGACTGATCAGGAAGACGACATACTAATGTTGTCCTCCCCGGGAGTAGATGCCCTGCTTGAGCAGGCCCACGACGAGGAGCTGACAACGGCGCCCTCATCTGACGTGGCTGAAGAGGTTGTATCAGTAATGACGGCAGCTTCGACATGCGTCCCGTGTCCTGATGTGATACGTGAAATCCCTATGGTCTGTCTAAGTAGTGAGCCAGCAGGCATTCCTTCCCCTGTCCGAATTGCACCTGGGAGAGAAATGAGATGGAGGATTAAATCCCAGAAGGGGTGTTACTTTGTTTGTCAAGGCAAGATTATAGATTGCTTTCAGTTTATGAATATTTTGTCTGTAAAGACTGGATGGTTCGGCCCAGAAGTCTGTAACTCTTTTGGAACCGCACCTTTGTTGGATACGAAAAATCATGTTTTGGTTTTCAGCGCCAGCTTCCCACCTCAAATGATGGGATCGCTTCCGCGTGGAGAGGCTCCGGTGATGGATTTATCTTTATTCTTTGTGGGCGAAGATCCCACAGATGGGAGAAAGCAGTTTAAAGGTTATGTAACAACCCGCAAAGGGACCTTGTGCTTACCCGTAGCTGATGATGGCATTATGATGAGAATGAGGGTTGATGTGGAGGCCACAGTTAGGTGTCTGAGTGTTCAGCCGTTCCTGAGTGAGATGGATGCTAGATTTATGAAAGCTTGCATTGCTGCTCTATCTTTTTATGGTCCTTTGCCTCAGTACGTCCTCATGGGGGATGTTGCAAGCCCGAGCAACCAGTCAAGGCTTAGAAACAGTGGTCAGAGACAAGGGTCACACAAGGGTCAAGAGGACAGGAGTTCAGGACTTGCTGGTGAGGACAGAACTAGGCAAAAGGTCAAAAGACAAGCTGTCTTCTCTATATCCACCCATGGACACACCCCTGGGCCCGCCCCTAACTCCACCTCTGGCGGGAAAAGAAGGAATGGCATGGAGTGAGGAGAAGCCCAGCTGGACCCAGGAGCTCTCAGGAATGCTGAAAGAAGATCTACAATTTGCTACCAATATGAAGATTTATGACCTGTGCTCTCATTCCAGGAGTGCAGAATGTAACTTTTGTGCCCTCATGTGAATACTGCATGTAGTGAAATGATACTAAATGTCTTATGTAGAGCTAAAAAAGTGTATCTGGTAGATGACCCCTTGACCTAAACTGTCAGGAGAGAATGACTTGTGACTCTTGCATTGTTTAGAGCAGTCTCAGAAATGATATAAAAGGATGCAGCTCAGATCGAGCGGGAGTCTGGTTCCTAGAGAGAGGGCTTCAGGCTTCGTTCTTGGGGAGATTCTGAGAAGACGAGAGCTGGTGTAAACTGACTCTCATTTAATCATTTTGAACTAATTCCTCCGTGGGGGATAGTAGTTGTTTTTTACTTTACCCATTTTTGTATTTTGATTTTGTAATAAACCTTTTTTGAAAAAGAAACATAATCCTGATTCTTTCAGGTTTTCTCTAAAGCTTCACGTTTGGAGCCCTGGCCATAATTGCACAGAGGTAAGCATGTCGAAGATCGGTCTCTGAATTATCAGGACTTACTTTACAGTTTATAACAGAATAATATAAAGAAACCTTAAGATAAGGGAAGTTTTAACTTCTCTCCCCTTGCGAGTAACGAGTTGTCTTAAGGGTGATAAAAGCAAAATATTCGAGGTTATTTTGGCTCTGATTGCAGGTTGAAAAAGTCTCTAATCAGCTGGAAGGTTGGATTAATAAATAAATTGATAAACTTATGTTAGCCTGATCAACTAGCATAAATCATTTTATAGTTACCAACCTCCCACATAAGCTGTTAGAGGCGCAATTAATTCCGGGTAGCCCAAACAATTGCTGAGAGGCTTGGCTTGCCTCCAGACTTCTCTCTAGTATCTTAACCAAAAGGTAACGAGTTTAAAAGAAGTGTAGCACTCTGAGGCTGGCTATTCGTGCAAGTCATTTCACCTTTAAAATAAAAGACAAGATTCTAATTAGATAGTCCAAACCCGGGTCTGGTACGATTATACTCGTCGATACACCCCCGAACCCTGATGGATGCACCGTCTCATAAGTTCTAACGGAACTGGGTTTTAAAGGAACCGGTAAATGGGACGGGCACGCGACAAAAGGTCATCAGTGTGCTAAAGGTCATCAGTGTGTTAGAGGTCATCAGTGTGCTACAGGTCATCTGTGTGCTAAAGGTCATCAGTGTGCTAAAGGTCATCAGTGTGCTAAAGGTCATCTGTGTGCTAAAGGTCATCAGTGTGCTAAAGGTCAACGATGTACTACAGGTCAACAATGTGCTACAGGTCATCAGTGTGCTAAAGGTAATCAGTGTGCTAAAGGTCAACGATGTACTAAAGGTCAACGATGTACTAAAGGTCAACGATGTACTAAAGGTCATCAGTGTGTTAAAGGTCATCAGTGTGCTAAAGGTCATCAGTGTGTTAGAGGTCATCAGTGTGCTACAGGTCATCTGTGTGCTAAAGGTCATCGGTGTGCTAAAGGTCATCAGTGTGCTAAAGGTCAACAATGTACTACAGGTCAACAATGTGCTACAGGTCATCAGTGTGCTAAAGGTAATCAGTGTGCTAAAGGTCAACGATGTACTAAAGGTCAACAATGTACTAAAGGTAATCAGTGTGTTAAAGGTCATCAGTGTGTTAAAGGTCATCAGTGTGCTAAAGGTCATCAGTGTGCTAAAGGTCATCAGTGTGTTAGAGGTCATCAGTGTGCTAAAGGTCATCGGTGTGCTAAAGGTCATCAGTGTGCTAAAGGTCAACGATGTACTACAGGTCAACAATGTGCTACAGGTCATCAGTGTGCTAAACGTAATCAGTGTGCTTAAGGTCAACGATGTACTAAAGTTCAACAATGTACTAAAGGTCATCAGTGTGTTAAAGGTCATCAGTGTGCTAAAGGTCATCAGTGTGCTAAAGGTCATCAGTGTGTTAGAGGTCATCAGTGTGCTAAAGGTCATCGGTGTGCTAAAGGTCATCAGTGTGCTAAAGGTCAACTGTGTGCTAAAGGTCATCAGTGTGCTAAAGGTCATCAGTGTGTTAGAGGTCATCAGTGTGCTACAGGTCATCTGTGTGCTAAAGGTCATCGGTGTGCTAAAGGTCATCAGTGTGCTAAAGGTCAACAATGTACTACAGGTCAACAATGTGCTACAGGTCATCAGTGTGCTAAAGGTAATCAGTGTGCTAAAGGTCAACGATGTACTAAAGGTCAACAATGTACTAAAGGTAATCAGTGTGTTAAAGGTCATCAGTGTGTTAAAGGTCATCAGTGTGCTAAAGGTCATCAGTGTGCTAAAGGTCATCAGTGTGTTAGAGGTCATCAGTGTGCTACAGGTCATCTGTGTGCTAAAGGTCATCGGTGTGCTAAAGGTCATCAGTGTGCTAAAGGTCAACGATGTACTACAGGTCAACAATGTGCTACAGGTCATCAGTGTGCTAAACGTAATCAGTGTGCTTAAGGTCAACGATGTACTAAAGGTCAACAATGTACTAAAGGTCATCAGTGTGTTAAAGGTCATCAGTGTGCTAAAGGTCATCAGTGTGTTAGAGGTCATCAGTGTGCTAAAGGTCATCGGTGTGCTAAAGGTCATCAGTGTGCTAAAGGTCAACTGTGTGCTAAAGGTCATCAGTGTGCTAAAGGTCAACGATGTACTACAGGTCAACAATGTGCTACAGGTCATCAGTGTGCTAAAGGTAATCAGTGTGCTAAAGGTCAACGATGTACTAAAGGTCAACGATGTACTAAAGGTCAACGATGTACTAAAGGTCATCAGTGTGTTAAAGGTCATCAGTGTGCTAAAGGTCATCAGTGTGTTAGAGGTCATCAGTGTGCTACAGGTCATCTGTGTGCTAAAGGTCATCGGTGTGCTAAAGGTCATCAGTGTGCTAAAGGTCAACAATGTACTACAGGTCAACAATGTGCTACAGGTCATCAGTGTGCTAAAGGTAATCAGTGTGCTAAAGGTCAACGATGTACTAAAGGTCAACAATGTACTAAAGGTAATCAGTGTGTTAAAGGTCATCAGTGTGTTAAAGGTCATCAGTGTGTTAAAGGTCATCAGTGTGCTAAAGGTCATCAGTGTGCTAAAGGTCATCAGTGTGTTAGAGGTCATCAGTGTGCTAAAGGTCATCGGTGTGCTAAAGGTCATCAGTGTGCTAAAGGTCAACGATGTACTACAGGTCAACAATGTGCTACAGGTCATCAGTGTGCTAAACGTAATCAGTGTGCTTAAGGTCAACGATGTACTAAAGTTCAACAATGTACTAAAGGTCATCAGTGTGTTAAAGGTCATCAGTGTGCTAAAGGTCATCAGTGTGCTAAAGGTCATCAGTGTGTTAGAGGTCATCAGTGTGCTAAAGGTCATCGGTGTGCTAAAGGTCATCAGTGTGCTAAAGGTCAACTGTGTGCTAAAGGTCATCAGTGTGCTAAAGGTCATCAGTGTGTTAGAGGTCATCAGTGTGCTACAGGTCATCTGTGTGCTAAAGGTCATCGGTGTGCTAAAGGTCATCAGTGTGCTAAAGGTCAACAATGTACTACAGGTCAACAATGTGCTACAGGTCATCAGTGTGCTAAAGGTAATCAGTGTGCTAAAGGTCAACGATGTACTAAAGGTCAACAATGTACTAAAGGTAATCAGTGTGTTAAAGGTCATCAGTGTGTTAAAGGTCATCAGTGTGCTAAAGGTCATCAGTGTGCTAAAGGTCATCAGTGTGTTAGAGGTCATCAGTGTGCTACAGGTCATCTGTGTGCTAAAGGTCATCGGTGTGCTAAAGGTCATCAGTGTGCTAAAGGTCAACGATGTACTACAGGTCAACAATGTGCTACAGGTCATCAGTGTGCTAAACGTAATCAGTGTGCTTAAGGTCAACGATGTACTAAAGGTCAACAATGTACTAAAGGTCATCAGTGTGTTAAAGGTCATCAGTGTGCTAAAGGTCATCAGTGTGTTAGAGGTCATCAGTGTGCTAAAGGTCATCGGTGTGCTAAAGGTCATCAGTGTGCTAAAGGTCAACTGTGTGCTAAAGGTCATCAGTGTGCTAAAGGTCATCAGTGTGCTATAGTCAACGTTGCCTAAAAGTTGTTGATCACAGCAGCTTCATAACAGACTTGGTGACTCGGTGGGGATCTCTGGAACTGGTCTAGACTGGTTTAGATCGTACCTTTCTAACAGAAGTTACAGTGTCTGTAGAAACCACATCATGTCACATTCTACCCATCTGTTCTGTGGGGTACCCCAAGGCTCTGTTTTGGGTCCACTGTTGTTTCTGCTGTACACACACCCTCTTGGACAGATACTTGATTCTTTTCATAATGTCTCTTATCACCTATATGCAGATGATATTCAGGTGTACTGCTCCTTTAAGGATTCTGAGTTCTACAAACTGTCTGAATTACTAGAGTGTCTATCAGCGATCACCAGCTGGCTAGAAGATAACTTCCTTCAGTTAAACCCTGAAAAGACTGAATGTCTGATCATTGCCCCTGAGAGCACGGTTCCCCTGATTAGTCTAAAACTTGGTCATTTATCCTCTGCCGTCAAGACGAACTTGAGGAATTTGGATGTTTTTGACCAATCAGTGTCTCTTGTAGGACACTCAGAAACGTTGGTCCAAAACTGTTTTTATCATTTAAGAAATATCTCCAGACTGAGAAGGTTGGTGTCCAAACATGAACCTGAAATGGTTCTCCATGCCTTCATCTCCTCCCGTCTAGATTACTGTAACACACTCTTCACATGTTTTAACTAAAAGCCCTTGACCGCCTTCAGCTGGTCCAGAACTCTGCAGCGAGGCTCCTAACTGGAGCAAACAGAAGAGCACACATCACTCCTGTTCTGGTGTCTCTGCACTGGTTACCCGTTAACTCTAGAGTTCATTTAGAATCCTGACTAGAACCTTCAGGGCTCTACATGGTCAAGCTCCTCCCTATATTACTGACCTGTTAAAGCCTTACGCTCCGACCCGAGCCCTCAGGTCCACCCACCAGAACCTTCTAGAAGTTCCAGAGACCAGATATAAAAGCGGAGGTGATCGCTCCTTCCAGACTGTTGCACCCCGACTCTGGAACGATCTTCCTTTATCCGTACGCAGCGCTGACGGTCTGGACACCTTTAAACAGCTGAAGACTCTTTTATTTAAAGCTTCTTTTATATAAACCTTTAATTTTCTTGTTTTTAACTCAAACTTTTTATCTTTCATCTGTTAATGAAATGTTTTAATTTTATGACTTTATTTTTCCTGTTAATCTGATTCTGTTTTGAGAGCATTTTGATTTTAGGATGTTAATCTATTTATGATTTTATGACTTTGTTTTATTTTGTTTTGATCTATGTGAAGCACTTTGTGATTCTATGTCTGTGATAAGTGCTGTATGAATAACATTTACTTACTTACTAAAAGCTGAGGTACTGGAGATAGTTAACTGCTCTTTAACATCAGGTCTTTCTCCTAAACCACTGAAAACTGCTGCTGAGAAACCTTCTAAAGAAGAGGAACCTAGATCCTCGGTGTTGAACATCTACTGACCCATCTCTAATCTCCCTCTGATGGAAACATCATCGCAAAGGCGGTACTGATCCAAATAAACAACTGTTTAGAGTCAAATAACATCATGGACGGTCTTCAGTCAGGCTGTAGATAGCACCACAGCACAGAGACGGCACTGATCAGGTATTAAACGACATTCGTCTCAACACTGATTCAGGTGAAGCCTCTGTCCTGATGATGCTTGACCTCAGTGCAGCTTTTGATACTGTGGACCACGACATCCTTCTGGACAGACTCAAACTGGGTGGGACTAGGTGAGATGGGTAGAATTTCCATCTTTCAGAGTAAAACATGACCTTTTCAGTGGCGATGGTGGGGAAGGCTTGGTTGACGTCATTATTTGACAACTGATTGCTGTTCAGGGGCAGGGGAAGAAACAAAAGTACGTTTTGGGACTGTCCTGCTCCTGCCCCTGCTCCTGCCCCTGCCCCTGCTCCTGCCCCTGTTCCTGCTCCTGCCCCTGCTCCTGCTCCTGCCCCTGCTCCTGCCCCTGTTCCTGCTCCTGCCCCTGCCCCTGCTCCTGCCCCTGCCCCTGTTCCTGCCCCTGCTCCTGCCCCTGCTCCTGCCCCTGCCCCTGCTCCTGCCCCTGCTCCTGCCCCTGCCCCTGTTCCTGCCCCTGCTCCTGCCCCTGCCCCTGCTCCTGCTCCTGCCCCTGTTCCTGCCCCTGCTCCTGCCCCTGCTCCTGTTATAGGTCCGTTTGCTGTTTGATGCTGATATATCGTTCTTTTGCACGTCCCTTCTTTCCCTCTCTCTCTTTCTAGAAGCAGTATTCTGTTGTCATGACGCCCCACCATCACCTCTCTTCCTCTTTCACTTTCATTTCCGTCTGCATGTTCGTCTGGAATACAAAACCTTAATCAACTCTAATCGCTGAATCAGTAACACTCCACCTGTCGGAGCAAAGCTGTACAACTTGTTTTTGACACTTGACATCAAATCTGACAGGACAGAGGAAAAAAGGGATGTGAAGCACTTCCTGTTCACCTTCAGCATGACAGCAACTGCTTCCTGGGAGGCGTGTCTAGTGTCGTCTCCGTTGACCGAAAGGATCTGGTCTCCTTGCATCAGCCGTCCATCCAGCTCAGCGGCACCCCCTCGCACCACCTCAGAGACGAAAACGCCGCTGCCACTCCTGATGATGAAGATCAAACAGATGCTATTAGTCCATGTCCTTATATATATATATATACAGTTGTAGTCAGAAGTTTACATACACTTGTAAAAAATATAATCTAATGGCTCTACTGAGTGTCCCGTTATTTCTAAAACTCTGATTTTTCTCTGATAGAGGGATTGGAACAGAAACTTCTTTGTCACAAAAACATTCATGAAGTTCGGTTCTTTAATATCTTTATTATGGGTTAACAGAGAAAAGTGATCACATTTGCTGGGAACTGAATGAGATCCAAAGCTGCATTATAGGTACTGGAAAGGTGAAATCTAAGCCCCGCCCCTATTTAAAGTGTTTTTTTCCTCGTTTGACATAGATAGCTTCTTTCACTCCTCCCTCACACCATCTATCTTCTCTGTCCAGAATGTGTCCCTTGTCCTTCAGGTGTAGGTGGACGGCAGACCTGAAGAGGTGGCTCAAAAATAGAAAAACCTTTATGATTTGAAGACAAACCTCTTCCCGACAATGCTGAAGCCTAGCCCTCTACCGCTCTTCTTCTGCAGTTCCAGCTTAAAGACATCCAGGTTCTCCTCATCTCTGTACTGAGCCTCATCCCTCAGAACCGTCAGACGGACCTTAGCTGGTGTCTGCCGCAGGGCGGTGATTGCTTCCTCGTGAGATGCTCCGCGCAGGTCCACACCATTCACCTGGAAACACACACACACACACACACACACACACACACACACACACACACACACACACACACACACACACACACACACACACACACACACACACACACACACACACACACACACACACACACCAGTGAACGAGTGTTAAGTCTGTTTATGCTGTTGTTTGAATCCGATGCTGAAGCTGATGAAACACTTTGGAGCCACATAAACCCTTTCTCCGAGCGGGGTTATCTGTGACGAGACCAAGACACACAAAACAGGCCATCAGTACCTCCAGAACCTGGTCTCCAGCCCACAGCCGTCCGTCTCGGGCCGCAGCACCTTCTTCATAAACCTCATGGATCACAATGGCGTCCTGAAGGAGAGACACCAGGCGAGGGAGAGAGAGAGGGTGTGTCTGTGTGTACTTGTCTTTATATGTTTAACCCTTTAGTTCCTAACGTTAATGTCCTTTGAGCACAACAAATGCACTGAGGTTATTTAAGGGTTAAGTGGACAACTTTGGACTGTAACCGGTCACATGTGGACATTTTTACATTTTGGGGACATTTTGCTGCTCATGTCAGTTCTCTTGTTGGCTCTTCCTTCTTCCATCTCAGGAACGTTGCTAAGCTGAGTCCCGTTCTGTCCCGCTCTGAACTTCATTTCAAGATCCTGGTTCTGGTCTACAGGGCCTTACATGGACAGGCACCATCTTACATTGGTGATCTTCTTAGTCCCTACACCCCCAGCAGGTCCCTGAGGTCCAGTGACCAAAGCCTACTGGTTGTGCAGCACCAGGCTAAAGGTCAAAGGTGACAGATCATCTGCTGCTGTGGCCCCCAGACTCTGGACCTCTCTCCCCCTGAGCCTGAGACCAGTGGACTCAGAGGTCTCCTTTAATCACCTGTTCAGGTTTGGTGGGACCTCCAGTGTGGCTGTAGCGGGTTGGTGTGAATAAATGTAGTTTAGATTAGCTTAGGTTAGGGTTAGGGTTAGAACAACACTGGTTATGGTTAGGGTTAGGGTATGGGTTAGTGGAGTCCCTAAAATCAATGGAAGCCAAGTGTGTGTGTGTGTGTGTGTGTGTGTGTGTGTGTGTGTGTGTGTGTGTGTGTGTGTGTGTGTGTGTGTAACTCTAAAGGCTGATTCATACTGACACTGCTCCAGCATGTCGGATCTGTCGGATCGCCATGATGCGACGCCGTATGGGCGGTCCAACAGTGATGGATCGTGTTGGAACGTCGGTTGGAGTCGAGCTCTATTTCCTAAACATCCGACGGCGGCGTTGTGCGCTGGACGTCTGTTATTGGTCAGCCAAACAACCCAACGTCATTTCCGGCACGACGTAGCTTCCCTTAAAACTGTAAACAGCGCGAGTGTTGACACAGTCCTGAAGGCATGGAGCAGATGGAGCGGAGTTGTTCTTCTAGCTCAAGCAGCTCCTGTCTGTGTCGTCCATGTTTTCACGTCGCAAACAGTAAATAGTAGTAGGACAGACACGTCACTACAAGGGTATGCACACCTGCATGGGAGCGCGCCTCCTGCTGTCCTGGTGGAGAATTTCTCTGCAGCAGGTCGGGCCGGTATGAATGCCGAGGAGGTTCGACGCTGCAGCAGCGAGCGGGTGTTAAGGGGGTGGGGGGGGGTGGGGGGGGGGTGGGGGGTGGGGGGCATGAATCAGGCTTTAGTGTGTGTTACCAGCTGTGTGTCTCTTCCTCCAACTATGCTGAGTCCCAGTCCGGACCGGCCTTTGCTGATCTCCAGAACCGTCTCTTGACCAGGAACCACAACACAGCAGGACGGGTCTGAAGGGGAGGAGCCATTCAGCTGATTGACAAGTCAAACTACAAATCATTTTTGTCTCAGACGTCCAGATCAGCGAGTCCATACTCAGATTCAAAAGTCTATTAGTCAAGAAAAATGAGGAGGTAAACAGTCTGTCCCCCCTGTCCCTGTCCCCACCTGTCCTGTCCCCACCTGTCCTGTCCCCACCTGTCCTGTCCCCACCTGTCCCCCCCCCGTCCCTGTCCCCACCTGTCCTGTCCCCAACTGTCCTGTCCCCAACTGTCCCTGTCCCTACCCGAGCTCAGGGGACAGCACCTCATTTAGGAGATGTATAATCAGTCAAATGTTGCACTTTTAGAGCTTCCATCAAAATCAAAGCTCAGCTGGTTGTTCCTGGGGTCACAGTCCAGTGGACACTCAGGGTCAGGTGGTGCTGTTCTGGTCAGACATGGGAACAAGTCATTGTTTTGCCAGTCAAGTCAAGTCTGACACTTCAAATTTCATGTCATTTCAAATCATTTTTAAACAATAAGTTCAGTGTAAACATAGACCATGTACTGTTTTGAAATCTGTATTCATCCCAACACGCGTGGAACTGGACCTAGAACTACAAACGTAGTTCTGGACTAGCTAGCTAACTAGAACCGTCTTCCTTTAAAGGGCCCGAGTCACGCTGTTTTACACTGTCCAGGACAACTATAGGCACAATATATGATACATGATTTCATTGGGGGCAGCAGAAGCTCAACAGGTTGTCCAGTAATCGAAAGGTTGCAGGTTGAATTCCGTCTCTGGATAGATTATTCTGCTGTTGTGCCCTTGGGCAAGACACTTAACCCACCTAGCCTGCTGGTGGTGGTCGGAGGGACCGGTGGCAGCCTCGCCTCTGTCATTGCGCCCCAGGGCAGCTGTGGCTACATTGTAGCTCATCCCCACCAGTGTGTGAATGGGTGAATGGTATACTGTAGTGTAAAGCTTTGGAGTCCTCTGACTCTGAAAGAATTATACAAGTGCGGGTCATTTACCATCTAAATTAGTACCGTTGGCACTAATAAAGTGACGATGTATAGCTTTAATCATCAATCTCTGGAAAAATCCATCAAAATGTTGTTGAAAATGCATAAATGATGTCCACAGGGTTCAAGGCGGGCTCTGGGGTACGCCATTTAGCTGCCATGTTCTCTTCTACGTGAGCTGGGGTCTTTCTCAATGCCAACAAACCTTGCCTTGATGTCTTGGCCACGCCCCACTTGCCTAGGAGGTACGTCATCAGGAACCGCCAAGGCGTGTTCCAGTGTTCATGTTCTACCGAGGCGTATGTTCTCTGTCTGGTACCCGTTTAGCTAGCTGAGTAAGTACAGGGAGCCTAAGTCTCCTCCCTTTCCGGTCGGCTCATGGGTCCTCAGAAGTACGAAAAAATGAATGCAGGTCAACGGGGCTAAAAAGGCTCTTTACCAACCGGCTTTGCCTTAGACCCTGGATCACACATATGATGTACTGCAGTTTATATGAAAAGTAATGATGGTGTTTCAACCACGCCAGTCACGTACTTTTGAGATTCATCAGCTTGGAAAAGTTCGTAATTAGCACAACTACATCGGCACGTCGCATATATGATGTCACCATATAAGCTCCTCCCCACTAGCGTAGCTGCTACCTACCACATGTCAAGATTTATGGTGCTTCTTTCCTCCTGTGGGAAGTTTGCTGAACTTACAGCCTTTTTCCCTGAGGTTCTCCGTGTCTGGTTCAATGACGTCAATTTTTTGAAGCGCATTTGTAGTCCTGGACTTATTTTCACACAAAACCTAAAATAGCGATTCCCCCTGTTTGAACATAAGCGTGTTCTTGATATCAAAAAAGCTTCTTTAAAATTCACGGACATCATATGTGAAATCCACGGCACAAAACAAGCAGAATTAGAAAATAGCATTTTTAGGCCCGTTGACTTGCATTCCTTATTTTGATCTTCCAGGGACCCGTGGTGCAGAAGCAGATGGGTGTGACATATGGCGCTTACACATTAGTGTCTGCACGCCCCCAAAAGGTACCGGACGGCACCGGAATTTGGTTTCACACACAGGTCAGATTTGTGTTTTCGGTGCCCAGGCGACTCTTTTTCTCAGACCTTCCCCAGCGGTGAGACTGGGACCAAGACGACACTACGGACTGATTGGCCGGCTGAAATTACGCCTACCGCCTCCGATCTGCGAGAAGAATGAGCCAGTGGGGGTTTCCCTGCAAATGCGATTCATTTTCATGCTGGATGCTGTTGGGTAAACTGTCTGTAGCACGGAGCTGCTGCTCTGGAGCTGCCGATCAGTGTGGGAACGGGAGAAGAGAATAGCTCTGTGTGTGTGTGTGTGTGTGTGTGCGCGCGCATGCGCCTGTTCTCCACATCAGAGCTATTGCCCCGGCGAGCAGACAGCTTCTCAGGGGAGAACTCAGTGTGTGTGGTTAGGGTTAGGGTTAATGTGGTTCAGAGTCTCCAAAAGTAACACAGCTCATGTCCGCCTTTGTTTACCTTATAACGGAGGACACCTCGGACTTTCCCGCTCGTATTAAACCCCGCCCACAGGCTTGGGGATTTCCGCGTTCCTGAGAAGTCCTTCGGGTTTATATGTGAACACTACACCGCCCGTTCGAGACCGAACTCATGCCATCCAGCCCCACCGAACCCCGACCGTAAGCGCCATTAGGCTCCCTATGCATGGGAGGTGTCTTGTGGCCTAGCCTTGGTCAAAAATTTCCCAGAATGCACTGCATTATTTTCAAAGGGATGGTGGATCAGGAGCCGACGGCTACTTCGGGGGCAAACCTCCAGTTTAAATATAAGTCAACGAATAACAGCTACCGGGCTGATATCTAAAATGTGTTTTAATATCCAAAGAAGTTACGTATGGTTGGCTAGCTGCTTAGTAGCTGCAGCTTCGGTGGATAGCAGGTAGTAACTCGCTTACATATTTTATCTAACCAGTACATACACAATTTAACAAGTAAAAGGCTCGTTCTACATTTATATTGAAGACATGGCCCTGCGAGGCCAGGCGCCTTGACATTGAGAATACTCCTGGGCTTGGGGTCCTGGGACTGCTGATGACATCACACTGAGCGGGATCGCCACTGATGGAGCGCCTGAAACGGTTGGCGGTCAGAAAGGACTGACTGCATTAGTAACAAAAGAAATGAGCCGTTTGGGTCTGGATGCAAGTGATTTACTTGTTTGCCACTGTATCATACATCAAGAGTCTTTGTGCACATTCCCCGAAACAACGCAATGAGAACCGTTGTGTCGGCCATAAACGTCATCAAAAGCAGAGGGCTGAGCAACCGCCCGTTTGTAAGAGCTCCTCTGCGAGCTTGAGTCAGAGCTAGAACATCTTGTTTATCACTGTGAGGTGCGCTGGCTGAGCTGTGCAGATATGCTGGTACGGTTTCATGCACTGCAGGAAGAAGTCAGACATTTCATGGAGATGAAGTGGAAACCGTGGAGCTCAGTGATGACAAGTCTCTCAGCGACCTGGCCTTTAAAGTGGACATCACCAAGCACCTGTCAGAGCTAAACATCAAGCTGCAAGGTCCCAACCAGCTCATCAGCTCTCTGCTTTCAAATGCCAACTCATTTGAAATGAAGTTAAAGCTCTGGCAAGGACCACTGGAAAAGGGAAACCGTGCACGTTCCAACCCTGCAAGAGCAAAAGCTGATGTTACAGCTGAATATGCCGTTGAGTGTGCAAAACTCCTCCAGGCATCCGACAGCAGGTTTCAAGATGTGAAAAATATTCAAAAGGAACTAGACATCTTAGCTACGCCGTTTAACGTGCGCCAGACAACCTCCAAATGCAGAATAACGCTGAGCTCACAGCTAAGTACAACAACCTCTCTCTGCTGGACTTTACAAACTGCACGTGTGTGCAGAGGACTTTCCCAGCCGGAGGAGACATGCCCTGAAGTTTGCATCTCTATTAGCAACAACATTCAAATGTGAACAGTTCTTCTCAAAACTGACTCTTGCAAAGAGTCGCTTCCGCTCAAGACCGACTGACCCAAACTTGGAAAACCGGCTTCGAACAGCATGTTCAACCCTACCGCTGACATCAAACGCCTCTCCAAAGAAAAACAGTTCCAGCCATCTCGTTAGGCGAGTCTGATGTGCAACAAGCCAGCAATTCCCAGGCTCAGAACACAGTAGTTTTAGACTTTATACTTCTTTCTATTGCATCACTTGGTGTTACGGCCGCCGCCGGTTTGGAGCCCAGTGGCGTGCAGCGTTCCCCGTTTTCCTGTTCAGCAGTGCAGCACCTTGGACAGCTGCCCCTTGGGAAGCAACTTTCCTCCAGGACCATGGACAGCACCAGAGCAGCAGTCACAGCCAGCTGGGACTTTTCACCTCGTCAGCTGGAGCTCATCGGGGAGAGAAATCGTTTGTGGGTTGCAGCAGCAACTGGTGTTCTCTTCCCTTGTGGGTTTTGGCTCCGTCTAAACCTTCTGCAGTTTTGCTTCCTTCTAGAGAGAGAGTAGGTAGGATTTTGGTGTTTGGGACAATTTGAGTTAGTTGGTACTTTTAGACTAACCTTAGTTAATTACTCGGTGGGGGTTTTGCCCTTTCTTGATTTCCAGTCCCCTTTTAACAAAGGAGAGTTATTTTAGGGTTTTCAGTGTGGACGTTCTCAGTTAAATAGTTAATCTTAGTTTGGTTTGTCCTTTGGACACGCCTTGGTTAATTTCTAGGTGAGGGTTTTGCCCCCTCCTTTTGGACTTTCCAGCCCCTTTTAATAAACCTTTGAAAACAAGGACACTTTGAGTTGGTTTTGCTTTGTCAAGCCTTTTCCCCCCTTTAGGGTGACCTGACGTTAGACTCGTCCATTTTACATTTCCCCTCTCCTCATCTTCCTAGCTGAGCCCACTGAAGGGGTGTAACACTTGGTATGTGTTCATCATCACGTGGCCCTCAGAGAGCTGTTAAGAAAATGTAACGGCCCTTCAAGAGAAAAAGGTTCCCCACCCCTGCACTAGATGACTGGCTGGATGTACGACTTACGGAAGTTACGTTAACACGTTCAAAAACATTTAGCTCAACAACAAAACTGCTAAACTCTCTCCAAAACCAACGTGAAAGAACAGAATCAAAAAAGCGATGGAATTAATTTTGGCCGAATGGTATTGCCATAGTTTGAAGTAATCGGCAGGCGCACGACCCCGAGCAGATACTGACCAGTCCCCACCAGAAAACTGAGGAGACACGCCGAGGTCGCACGCCGTCTACTCGACAGCTAACGTTTACCGTAACGTACCTGAAAGGTATGTGCTGCCCCCTACTGCCAGGAAACCACACTGTCATGCCTCAACCTTTAAGTAATCCATATGAAAATCCACCCTAGTAGTGGTTTAACAAGCTGGCTGGGACATCAGTCTGGCTCAGGTTTTGATAGATAAGTGTTGACAAAAGGACGAGCGACTACGTCCTTCAGGGGAACTTGTGAGTTAAAATGCTCACAGATCCGTGTGTGGAGGAAGCAAGCGGGTTTAACGTAGCTAATCTGCAACGCCCGCCTCCAGAGCGCTGAAACCCGGCTACATATGGAGGAAATATCAAGTATTTTCAAGTAAAAAGGATCAAGTCAAGTCCGAGTCCGAGTCACTGGTGTACAAGTCCAATTCAAGTCCAAGTGTTTGAAGGTTTTTTCAAGTCAAGTCTAAAGTTATCTAGTGAATGACTGGAGTCGTGTGGTAGCGACCTGTGACTGACCTGCGTTAGCGGCGAGAGCATCAGGACCAATCGGAGAAGCTGCTGCTGGTTTACTGGAGCTGCTGTCAGACCTGCAGGACTGCACACAGACTCGAGCAGGTCAGCTTTTACCTGACACGTTTCAGCTCGTGTCTCCAGCCGTCATCAGAGCTCGCCGGTGCTGGTGGCGTCGCTTCCTGGTACCCACGGGCAGCCGAGGGCCATGTCGCTCTACTGCCCGCTGATGACACGGTCCCATGCGTGATCCAACGTGAATACTCCATCATCTGTTGGTGGTCCTGTGATTCTGACCCGTGTACCGTCCCAGTCCGTCGTGTGGTTTCTCTGGTGCAGCGGTCTGCAACAGCTGATGTCTTTGACAAGTATCTGAGCGGTCACCTGCACTCATAACTCTGTTGGCTTCACAGCCGGACAGCAACCAGGAAGAAACGCATCTGAGAGATCTTGTGATGTCCGAGTGGTGACATCAGTTTTCCTGTAAGCTAGACATTACTAATAAAACCCTCCCATGCCATTTGTGTTAAATGCCCCCCTGCTGATCCAGGGGGTCAAGAGGTCAGGATGGATACTGCCGGGAGAGCGGACCTCTGGGCAACAGAACTCGTACTTCAGAACCGAGCACGAGCCGTCTAGTCTGAGACCCTCCAGCTGACAGCAGGAGGTAAAAAGTTACCTTCTGGTCACTTCTGATGAAATACTTGTCCTCTGGTACGCTACACACTCTACCTGACTGTCGTGTGCTCTAGTAGGCGTGTTGGTATCATATTTTTCTGTTATGCCTTTGATATGTGGAGGGGTCATTGCTGGTTTGGGTTCTGGTCTTTGTGTTTCTGGTTCTGTTTTCTTTTCTACTGTTGGTAGTTTTCCTTGAACAGACATGATGGAGGATTCATGTTTGGTCACGCATCAGACCGTGTCATCAGCCAGGAGGTCAGGCGGGCAGCAGAGGACGACGTCGCCCTCTGCTGCCCGCGGGTAAAAGGAAGTGACGCCACCGGCCATCTCTGATGATGGCTAGAGCTACTAGCTGAAACGTGTCAGGTACATAACAATATATAATATATATGTATATATATATATATATATATATATATATATATATATATAGTAAACTATGAAAGAAAAGAACAAAAGATGGATAGAACGAACGTACAAAAGAGAACCAGACAGGACTCAACAGAACCCAGAGCTCGAAACAAAAACACATGAATGAGCTTTGGTCCTTACCTGAACCTCCAGTGGTGCCTGTGGAGCCCGCTGCTCACTTTCTGGAGACTCTTCAGCTTTTAGCCTCTGCAAGAGGAAACAGTCACGTAGAAGTCATCATGACCCGGCTCAGTCAGCAGAACCTCTGAAATGCCTAAATAACGACTACTGAGAGGACTGTGTTCCATCCTCATCATGAGACACGACACTCATGCTGAGCAAACTTCTTCTGAGTCTCAGATCATCTCTGACTCGCCTGTTCAATTCAATTCAAGTTTATTAATAAAGCGCCAAGTCAGGAGTCGTCTCAAGGACCTGCACACAGTAAACACTACAGGTCAGGTCATTAAGCCAATCAGTAACAAGTTTCCTATATAAGGAACCCAGCAGGTCGCATCGAGTCACTGACTAGTGTCAGAGTCTTTACAGCAATCCTCATACTAAGCAAGCATGCAGCGACAGTGGAGAGGAAAACTCCCTTTTAACAGGAAGAAACCTCCAGAGAATCCTGGCTCAGTATAAGCAGCCATCCTCCATGACTCACACACACACATACACACACACAGACACACACACACACACACACACACACACACACACACATATATATATATATATATGTGTGTGTGTGTGTATAGATAGATATACGCGTGTGAGCCCCGCTTGACTTGGAGAGGATTAAATCCACCACTATGTTAAGCAGGAAATTATCACGAAGGTCTCAATGTTCCAAACAAGCTTCATGGAATACCCCCCAGGAATGAGCCCATAGAGGGACAGCTGGTGTTAGTGTTTAGGAGATAAAAGTAGGAGGACAGACTGAGAAGGTTTGGACATGTCCAGAGGAGAGACAATGACGGCATGGGCAGAACCATGCTGAAGTTGGAGCCACCAGGCAGGAGACTGAGAGGAAAGAGGACATGACGTTAGTTGGTGTGAGGGTAGAGGACGCAGAAGACAGGCTGTGGAGACACCTAAAGGGACACGCTCTGAGTAGAAACGTATACATGATACTGAAACGGGTGTGCTGTGCATGAGTACATCACTCTAATGACTGAAGCTGGGGCCTTGCTGAGTGTCAGACCTTTCTAAGCACATCAGTCTCCAAGAGGTACTGGTCGGGGTCATCCCTGGTTCTGGTGCCTTCATTCCCGTCATCACTCGTCGTCTCCTCCTGGTCAACAGATCACAGATCAGTTCACTGCTCACTGTGGTGGTCCTAAAGCAGAGACACAGCTCTGGGGTCAGTTTAAGCAGCACACTGACCAGAGCATCCAAAAGGGGGCGGGGCTTCAGACTGTTGGTGGGGTGGGGTCCACAGGAGGGAGTGGAGACCTCACATGGAGTGGGAGCAGACGCACACTGTAACATGCACACACACACACACACACACACATTAGTGCATCTGAAACGGGGATGGTGTTTAAAACAAGTAAAGACGTTCTTAGACTTCGTATTTCCTTTAAAAGTTGACTATTTTGGTGCTAGCTTGGCTTGAATAACAACGCTCATTTAGTGGACGTAATTAGCACGCCTATCAGAATCGTAACCTGCAGCTCTCGAGGCATCAGAGTCAAATCTGGGCTTCAGGTTTGAGACGGAGTTCGACTTCGGATTCTAGCTTTGGTCTTCGTCTGGTTTCATCGAGGCGCAGCAGAACCTCCTTTCTCACATACGGCCCACAGTTGTGCAGGTGGAACCAAAAACAGGATGTGTTTCATTAACTCCGCCCCTCACTGTGTTGCTGGCTGCTTTCTTCGTTCAGCTCATTTCATACACACAACCACCCGGTGTGCTTTCCACAAGCAGCAACAGCAGGAAGACTAAACATCAAAACCAAGGTGAACAGCAGATTTAAAAACAAACCAAACAGATCAAATTCAACCAATCAGATTTATTTACATAGCACCTACCACCACCTGACCGGAGGCCCAAGGTGCTGGGCTGCACATAAAGCAAGGATAACAACAACAGACAGATGAGAGTAAACTGATAACAAATAAATAAATAGAAAAGTACAAGTAAAAATAATTAAAAACCATAAAGTACAAGAGGTAAAATTACAAAAGCCAGGGTCAATGCTGTTGGGGGAAGCTAACTGCTGTAGAGAAGGAGCTAGATTCACTGCAGAGGAGCTCATTCCAGGGTGGAGGAGCCGCTACGGAGAAGGCCCGGTCTGAGTTTAGAGCGGGGGACTTACAGCAACTCCCGCTCAGCAGAGCCAAGGACCCGAGTGGGGACACGCCGCTGCAGCAGTTCAGCAAGATGTGGGGGAGCTCTCCCCTGCAGCACCCTGAACACATGGAGGAGCTTAAATCTGGCCCAATAAATCACCGGGAGCCAGTGCAGAGAAGCCAGCACTGGTGTGATGTGGTCTCTCCTTCTGGTCCCGGGCACCAGTCTCACAGCACAGTTTTGGATGAGCTGGAGTCGTGCAGTCGTAGCCCGACTCAGTCTAGCATCAACGCATCCAGGAGTCGGTGCGGGACACGATTACAGCGTGTACTGCTTCCTCATGCACTCTGGACAGGAGAGGCTTTATCTCGGACAGCCGTCTCAGATTACTAAAACATGTTTGTGCCTCAGTTTTCACCCCTAAATAAGTGACCACATTCTTCTTGTTTGTGTCATGGCATCAAGATCAACCTCATCACCTCCTCAGGGCTGAGAATTATGACCTCCGTTTGGGACTCGTGTAGGAAGACAAACTAGGCGTAGGAGTCGATAAAAGACAACGTTAAGGGTGAGCAGTTACAGCGCAGCATAAGAAACATTCATTCATTCATTCAAAGGCTGATGAATACATGAAAGTTTCTAGAGCCGGGGCCCATCTGAGGTCACGAGGAAGCTGATCCCATCTGTGAGCAGCATAGTAGCTAAAAGCAGCTTCACCCGGTTTGGTTCTGATCCGGTTCTACCAGCTGACCCAGAGCCCCGCTGGGCGTAGACTCCTGAAGGAGATCCCACATGTACTCTGGCCCCATGCCACTGAGTGGTTTATAAACTAGTACGATCCTTTCCCACTAGCATCGGCTCCGCATGGTCTGGATATAGACTCGAGCACACACACACACGCACGCACGCACGCACGCACGCACACACACACACACACACACACACACACGCACGCACGCACGCACGCACGCACACACACACACACACACACACACACACACACACACACGCACGCACGCACACACACACACACACACATGTGTGTGTTCACGTTAGCACCGGCTGCCTTTATTAAAGGTGCAACCGGACAGTTTTCAGCCCTCCTCCGGCGTTCTCACGCTGATTAACCCGGAGGAGAGAATCTCTATCACTGCATTCTTTGCAATCTTCAGCAAGGATGTGTGGAATCAACCGGGCCAACTGGGGCTATCTGGGCAGCGTGGAGCCGATGCTAGTGGGGAAGGCCCGGTAGCAGCACTCTGAAATGGATCCTGTGGTTTACTGGTAACCAGTGTAGAGATCTAAGAACAGGAGTGATGGGTTCGGTTCTCCTGGTTCTTGTTAAGACTCTAGCAGCAGCGTTCTGAACAAGCTGCAGTTGTTTTACAGCTTTTGTGGGAAGACCAGTTAGGAGACCATTGCAGTAGTCCAGCCTGCTGGAGATGAACACATGAATGAGTTTCTCTAGGTCTCGTCTGGACGTGAGACCTCTGAGTCGTGTTGTTTGATGCAGAAGACAAAACGCTGATCTGGTTCTAGCCTTAATGTGGCCAGTGAAGCTCAGGTCTGCATCAGTTATGACACCAAGACATCTAACCCGGGTCTTTGTCTTCGTTCCTCTGGAGCCGAGCTGAGCGGTAACCTCCATCCTGTCCTTCTGACTCCCGAACACAATAACTTCAGTCGTCGTTTAACTGCAGGAGGTTTGACTGCATCGGTCCTTAAGTTGCTCCAAACACTGACTGAGTGAGTCTAGGGGACCACAGTCAATAGGTGATGGAGCTAGGTAGATCTAGGTGTCATCTGCATAGCTATGATAGGTGACGGTGTTATTGTCTATGACCTGACCAGGGGGAGCATGTAGTGGTCCAAGAACTGAGCCTTGGGGGACCCCACATGTCATGGTGATCAGCTCTGGTTTGTGATCACCAGCAGAAACAGCACAACCCTGTCTTGTAGATAAGATCAGAAGCAACTATGGGCTGTACCTGAAGGTCCCACCCAGGTTATGAACCTATCAGAAGGATGTTGTGGTCCACGGTATCAACAGCTGCAGTGAGATGGAGCATCATCAGGACAGATGTTCTACCTGAACCTGGATGTAGACCAACATCATGTAATACTGTCATCAGTGCTGTGGTGTTGTCTACAGCCTGACTGGAGACCATCTAGCAGCTCGTCTCTAAAAGCTGTTCAGCTGGATCAGAGCAGCTTCTTCTGTCATGTTCCATGCAAGGAGGTTAGAGATGGTCTGTAGTTCTTCATCACTGAGGATCTAGTTTCCTTCTCTCTAGAAGAGCTCAGCAGCAGCAGTTTCACTGATGGAGGAACATACCTGATATTAAGGAACAGTTAACAGTCTCACTCCAGCAGCTTCTAAGCAGCTAAACGCTTTTAGAAGAAGTGAGTTGGCAGGTTGTCCAGGCAGCAGGTGGGTGAGCAGAACCTTAACTATGTTCTCCAGCGGTTTAGCTCTGATCACGCCGAGAGCTGCTGTTCTAGTCAGACTGTAGCTGTGTGGCTGCAGCTGTGGTCTGGCTGTGATGGATGGTCTGATGTTTACCATCTTCTGGTTGAAAAAGGAGGCTAACTCATTAGACTTCGTTTGGGAAATGAAACCAGGGTTTAACAGTGTGGGAGACTAGTTAGCCTCTCACTAGTAGCTAACAGAACACGGGCTAATATGACCACGGATGACTGGAGTTGTAAGTGTGCAGCTGCAGTCTGAGGCCTCGTAGTCATCCGGTAGGCGACGCTGAGCTTTGCTGCGTTCTCTTCTCTAATCTGTAACTGATGTGGTGAACCTCCATGGAGCTTCGTGTTTGCTACAGGTGAGTTTGACCTTTTTGGTGCAACGGTGTCGAGGACTTCAAGAGTTTTGCAGTAGAAGTGATTTAAAAGTGAATCCGCACAGCTGGTTGTCAGACTTATTCATGCGTTCTATAAAAACTGATGCAGGTGACCACCCAGGTACCTTTTTGAGAACAGCTGAGGTGTGGTGTGTAGCCGGTGACACGGATATCTCAGAGAGAACACAGAAAAGGTCCGATAGACCCGCATCCTTCGCCTCTGAACCCTGGGCCTTTTTATAGTGATTTGCTTAAAAACGATGTTCCCAAAATGAAGAGTTTATCTCAAGAACAACGTTTCTTTCAGCTGTGTTGGTAGCAAAATAAAATCAGCACCCCAGAAAACTCTAAAAAGCAACACTTATGTCACCGAGTTAAAGTTATTGGCATCCTGCACGTCTCTGCTCCAACACGTCTGATTCACCTGCTCAGCAGCTCATCAGGCTCTGCAGAAGCCTGTCAATCACCTGCTGATTAAAACCAGGTGTGTTTCAGCAGGATGGAAACTAAAATATGCTGGATAGCGGCCCTCGATGGACCAGCGTTACCGCTTAGATGCTCAGATGTAAGGAAAACCTCGGCGGATGCAGAGCTGATGAACTTTCACGGACAAGAAAGTCTCTAAAACATAAATATATGAGAACATGACATGATAATAACACTCGTAAACTACGTGTTTTAGCTGTTTGTCGCTACAGAAGCACGTTTGTAAAAACGTGAAGTCGCCATCTTAAACAAGCAGGAGAAATGATTTGTGTGATGTGCTTGTCGGCCACTAGATGGTGCCATCGAGTAAGAGACATACTCCAGAAAGAGACTTGTGACACCGTTGAATTTTAGTTTAATTCCACCTAAACAGAAGAGTAAACAAAGGGTTGGCCCCTGGCTTTGGCCAGCTGTGATGCTGCGTTTAAAGGACTTAACAGATAAAAGTGTACGGTGAGGGTATTTAACAATGTCCTTCGGTCATGCTGGGGAGTAGACCTGACTCTCCTTCATTCCTGTGCAAACGAAGGCTGGGACTTCTGTTACAGTGTAATTAAACTAAAGTAAAAACCCGAATAATTAATGAGTTGCATGGGGGGGGGGGGGGGGCTGGCTGGCTGGATAGGATAGGATAACCGTCTTCTGTCTCCTGCCCACGAACAGCTGGCTGTTCTCGTTTCCCGGGGCGCGCGGGGCAGCGGCTCTGATGCGGGGCTGACGTCATGCTGGTGAGCAGGGAACACACTTTGATTGGCCACTACAACATTCAGCCCCGCCAGCACGCACGATGAGTTTTTCCCTCCCGTGAGGCGGGAAATATCAAAGCGGTTAGATATTCACCTCAGGGCTCACAGGGCTCAGGGTTGGAGCCGGGGGGTGGGACGTCAGGGGGGGGACAGCCATCTGGTTCACAGCATCGTCGTTTCTGAAGAAACACAGAAAAGGTAGACTCAGAAAGATCTGATACACATCTAGAGGTCCAAAATTCTGTCAGCGGGTCTCAGATCCTCCAGAACCAGGGTCCTTCTTTAGCAGCCGGACTTTTGCACAAGTAGGAACTCGTTTATACATCGTGTTGTATTCATCATTTTGGACTTGAGCATGAAAATGTTCCTAAACTACAAACAGCATCTAGCGGTGGAACAGCCGTGTCACATACCAGGCACTAAGATCTATAAAACCCGCGACCAACGGGGATCTGACCCCAGGTTACTGGAGGATCTGGCACAGCGTGCTCTCTGGAGGTACCGGCTCCGACTCCTGAAGGACATCCTCTGCAGCTACGCTGTGATGTAGGAACTTTTGTGGAGCGACAAACAAACCACATGAATCCAATTTCTGTCCATATCCTGCAAGAACCCTCAGAACCTCCTCTGCTCCCGATTGCCACGGTAACCAGACTAAATGATAGCTGGGAGGAGGCGGCACTCCCAGACAGAACGAGTCCTTACGTGGAACCACGGCTCCTCGTTCCTCCGCTATCCCGACCGCGTCGGTAACAACTGGTTGGGTTCTGTTGCACGTTGGCAGCCAGCGTCTCCTTCTCATTGTCAATAAAGATTGATTTATTTCTGGAAAAACCCAGGGAATCTGCCGAGGACGTAGCGTGACCAAACATGGTGTGGCGTTGAGAAAAAACTACAGTAATCAATAACACTCCCTACAGATATGAATCTGAATATCTGGTTTAATAATACTCTGTGTTCCGGGTTGGGGTTAGGGAACACACACGTCCTATTGGCTCAGACAGAGTGATGGGGATAGTTGTAGCTCATCCAGACTAGTGATCACACAGGACTAAGCATGAATGAGACGACGGAAGGGAAGCTGGGAGTATCGGAGGGATCTGGGATGTCTGGGTGGTGAAATGGCTTTGATCAGCTACAGATCATTCATAAAACCATCCAACGCCATTCGTGCCCAGTCTACGCACCCTCTATGTTGAAGGTACCCGTACGATCCAGCGGGTCAAGAGGCCGGTAGAGTGGACCTCTGGGCAACAGAAGTCGTAGATCACATAACCCCGGTTCTGGCCTCTCTCCATTGGCTCGTTGTCTCTGACAGGATCCACTTGTTGTTTTTACATCCCTGAGCGGCCTGGCCCCAGTTTACATCCCTGAGCGGCTGTCCGCTTACGTCCCTGCCAGAACCATGCGGTCCAACGCTCTTTTAACGGTTCCAAATCCCGCCTTTAGACTGGCGGCGACAGAGCTTTCCCTGTGGGTGGTCCCAAACTGTGGTACAAGCTACTTATGGGGGCAGCAGCAGCTCCACAGGTAGAGCGGGTTGTCCAGTAATCGGAAGGTTGCAGGTTCGATCCCGGCTCTGGATTCTGCTGTTGTGTCCTTGGGCAAGACACTTAACCCTCCTTGCCTGCTGGTGGTGGTCGGAGGGACCGGTGGCAGCCTCGCCTCTGTCAGTGCGCCCCAGGGCAGCTGTGGCTACATCGTAGCTCATCCCCACCAGGGTGTGAATGGATGAATGATACTCTGTAGTGTAAAGCACTTTGGAGTCCTTACTCTCAGAGGCGCTACACAAGTGCGGGTCATTTATCATTTAGCGCTCCACATCAGGACCACACAGGATGGAGAGCGTCGTAAATCCCCTCTTCAGACGCATTTTTAGATCTGGCTTCCATGCCGGTCGACTTGAGCATCTTAACAGTTTTTACTGTAGATTGTGACTCATCTCACTTTAGGTTTTTATTGTGGATCTGTTGTAACTTGTACAGCGCTTTAGTGTAGCTTTGCTGCTGTAAATGCGCTCGTCGTTCAGATCCGAGCACGACCCGTCTAGACTGGGAGACCCTGCAGGTGACGGCAGGAAGCTGGAGGGTCTCTTTAGCCTCTGAGGCCGTTGATCTCACTCACAGGCGTTGCAGAGCGACTGTGACCTTGGTCACAGGAGAGGGTGCTTCCTAGTGCGTGCTCACCCCATCGATCTAATCAGGGCTGCTGGAGAACTGAGGAACCAGGAAGTGATTCCTCTACTTATTAACTTTATGGTTGATAAATTTAGACAAATCAGACGATGACAAGGTTAAATCTGTCACCCGCTGGAGGCCAAAGACCTCAGAGAATCACCCCCACTCAGACTCTTAGTGTGAGGTGAAAATGTTATGGAGCTAGGAGAAGCTCCCTCGTTGGGTACCAAGGTCGTTGAGCAGTTCCTGTGTGGTCTGGACACCAGACCGGTACGATGTGGCCCAGGATGTGTGACGCCGTTTGTGCTGCTAGTTAAAGAGCAAGTCACCCCCTGCCAGATTCTTACTCAACTCCCACTTCCTGTTTGAAAAATACAACAAATGCTGTTGCCTAGCAGACCGAGAGGGCGGAGCCACTAACAAATACATACACTCACGGCATTGTGACATCATAATGTACCAGAGCCCTGCACGGGCCTAAAATCTGAGCCAGTGTCCGACCCGGCCCGAGGAGGTTTTCAGGATTCTCCGGCCCGACCCGAGCCCGACTTTTCTTTTAACCTTTCATAAAGTTTTAGCGTGATGGAATGCTCCGCGTTCTGATTATCCGTTCTGCAGTAAAAAAGAAAAAAGAAAAGACAGAAAAACAGCATCAGTGCAGCTTTTCTTCTAACAGAGCGTATTTTCCAGCGGCAGATGAAATTTACGAACACTATATTAATTGAATGCATTTGTAAATTTAATCTGCCGCTCTGAAAATGCGCTCTGCAGTTAGAAAAAAACAGCAGTGAATGATGTATGTTTGTAACTGCAGAGCGAATTTATTCACAGATAAACAGAACGCTGCCGTTTTCATGAGGATAAACGAATGTTTCCGACATCTAAGTGGACATAAAATGGAGCATTAGAACAGGGGCGCATGTTTCAATCAGCTGTTTGAGAATTTGTTTATAGACGCGTTTATAAACCACACACACCTTAACTGAGCTAACGGTGCGTGAGAAGCAGGCAGGTGCTGCTGCGTTCAAGTGTTTCAGGTTTTTTTATGAATTCCATTAAAAATAAAGGCGCCCGGCCCGGCCCGGCCCGTGTCCGAGGTAATTACACAGTCGTCTGCCCGAAGCCCCGCCCTCGGGCCGGGCCAACCTGAGGGCCTAGGGCTCTATAATGTACCATCTAACATCATAGTGTACCTCTTAACCAATAGCGATGGCAGATTTAAATTCAAATGAAGTGCTGAGTTTTTGCCTGACGACGGTGCGTCGCTGACAATTTTAGGCAGAATATTTAAATTTTAACTAAGATTAACAAGTTATCGGCTGAACATGTCTACAGAGCAATTAGACACTCATTTATAAAGTTTATCAACAATAAAAAGTTGATCTGAGGGTGACTTGCTCTTTAAAAGTTCACTCCTGGTCATTTAGACTGAACTTGGCACTCCGGTACGTGACGGTGGTTAAATGAGGGCGTTGTGTATGTAGATGACTGAGAACGGACTCGAGCACCTGAGGACACACAGGTGGGGTTTATCATCAGCAGATTACGCAGGAACGTGCGTACGAGGCCACCGCATGCTTCATGAATTAGGATTTTGACCGTTCGTACGCAGATCGAAGTTCCCTTCATAGGAAGGAATATTTGACCAAACATGTGATGAATGAGGCCCTGGGATCTGATCCTGGAACCATGGTCACATGGTCTCTGACCCAGCACTCCTAGGAAGCCTTTTATTGGCTGGTCTATCCTGTTTGTTGCCATGGCAACTGTGGAACAGAGCTTTCTGCTGCAGAGATAAATCCCATCCAAGACAGATTCCTTGGTTCCTCCGCAACATCGGACCAGGAGCTCCAAGACTTTCACTTAGCTGAACTGGTTCCTCTGGTCTGCTCGTGTCCAGGTCCACCACAGACCTGAAGCTGTGACTCGGGAACATGAACATGCCTGATATTCCACAAATCCCTTGCAGCTTGACAACCAGAAGTCTTTGGAGCTGGTCGCAGACTAACATCTAGGTTATTCCTACCAAAGCTTCAGAACCAGGCCGGATGAGGTCCTAGGACGCCCTGCAGTCCTACCTGAGCAGGATCAGCTTCACCCTGGAGACGGAGCTCTTAATGATGGCTGACGCGTTCTGGTGGCTCCGCCCATAAAGCATCTGGTTGTTGATCTGGAAGGAAAACAGAATTTAACTGGTGCAGAATTTCCAACTGAACCAGTTGGGTTTATTTCCCATCTGGACCAAAGCCTCCTCACCTCCAGCAGCTCGTCTCCTACTCGGATCCTTCCGTCTCGGGCCGCCGGCCCCCCAGGATGGAGCCCCACTACAAAGATGCTGAGGCGGGACCGGTCCCGGTTCCCTGCCAGGCTAAGACCCAAACCCTGGCGCTCCTTCTCAAGCTCCACGCAGAGCAGCGCCCCCTGCAGGTCTCCATACCGCTCACAGTAACGCTCTGGGGAGAGAAGGCAGCCGAGTCCTAAACACGACTCATCCAAAATGGTACCAGGAACCAGGTTTCAGTTCAGTATCAGAACCACATGGTCCACATGAAACCTCTGGACAGTTTTGTCCCATAAAGTTTCATCTGAAACACTAAAAAGAACCCATTCAGAACCGGACCTTTAGGTCATGGCAGCTGGATGGATGAACAGGAAGTCTGGGTCAGTTTGAAGGAGCGTGGACGATTTGAAGCACAACACCGGTGACCCATGAAAAGGTTCTCTAAACGATCTATTACCCTAATCATCTGAATCAACTAATTAACTCTAAGCACCTGCAAAAGATTCCTGAGACTTTTAAAAACTCCCAGCCTTGTTCATTACTCAAAACCACAATCATGGGTAAGACTGCCAACCTGACTGCTGTCCAGAAGGCCATCATTGACACCCTCAAGCAAGAGGGTAAGACACAGAAAGACATTTCTGAATGGATAGGCTGTTCCCAGAGTGCTGTATCAAGGCACCTCAGTGGGAAGTCAGTGGGAAGGAACAAGTGTGGCAGAAACCGCTGCACAACCAGAAGAGGTGACCAGACCCTGAGGAAGATTGTGGAGAAGGACCGATTCCAGACCTTGGAGGAGCTGCAGAAGCAGTGGACTGAGTCTGGAGTAGAAACATCCAGAGCCACCGTGTACAGGCGTGTGCAGGAAATGGGCTACAGGTGCCGCATTCCCCAGGTCAAGCCACTTTTGAACCAGAAACAGCGGCAGAAGCGCCTGACCTGGGCTACAGAGAAGCAGCACTGGACTGTTGCTCAGTGGTCCAAAGTACTTTTTTCAGATGAAAGCTAATTTTGCACGTCATTCGGTAATCAAGGTGCCAGAGTCTGGAGGAAGACTGGGCAGAGGGAAATGCCAACATGCCTGAAGTCCAGTGTCAAGTACCCACAGTCAGTGATGGTCTGGGGTGCCATGTCAGCTGCTGGTGTTGGTCCACTGTGTTTTATCAAGGGCAGGGTCAACGCAGCTAGCTATCAGGAGATTTTGGAGCACTTCATGCTTCCATCTGCTGAAAAGCTTTATGGAGATGAAGATTTCATTTTTCAGCACGACCTGGCACCTGCTCACAGTGCCAACACCACTGCTAAATGGTTTACTGACCATGGTATTACTGTGCTCAACTGGCCTGCCAACTCTCCTGACCTGAACCCCGTAGAGACTCTGTGGGATATTGTGAAGAGAACGTTGAGAGACGCCAGACCCAACACTCTGGATGAGCTTAAGGCCGCTATCGAAGCATCCTGGGCCTCCATAACACCTCAGCAGTGCCACAGGCTGATCGCCTCCATGCCACGCCGCACTGAAGCAGTCATTTCTGCTAAAGGATTCCCGACCAAGTACGAGTGCATAACTGAACATAATTATTAGAAGGTTGAGTTTTTTATATTAAAAACACTTTTCTTTTATTGGTCGGATGAAATATGCTAATTATTTGAGATAGGAGTTTTGGGTTTTTATGAGCTGTACGCCAAAATCATCAATATTAGAAACAATAAAAGCTTGAACTACTTCAGTTGTGTGTAATGAATCTAATATATATGAAAGTCTAATGTTTATCAGTACATTACAGACAATAATGAACTTTATCACAATATGCTAACTTTTTAAGAAGGACCTGTATATGCAGGAATGAGATCAGACATGTACTTTGGCCCCATGCCATTGAGTGAGAAGGACCTGTTTTTACATAGACGAAATGTTTTTAAAATGAACCAAATGTGTTTTATGGAAACACCAGAGACCACTACACTACCCACTGGTGACATTTATCTGTACATGTGACCCATCCCCGCGGGGAGCTGCAGACTCGGCTGTGCTCAGGAATCATTAGGTGGTTTAACCCCCCCAATCCCAGCCCTTAAAGCTGAGTGTGAAGCAGGGAGGCATTGGGTCTCAGGGTTCAGGTTTTTGGTCTGACCCGACCGGGTTTGAACCCTGACCTCCCAGTCCCAGGGCGGACGCTCCACCACTAAGGCCGATAGAAACTAATCTGCAGCACTCAGGGATATCGTCACACATGGTTCAACCATTTATTTTGTACTTTCGTTCCGTGTTTGTCTTCATTATCCGTCTTCTGGTTCGTTTTTACGGTTTAGTAAAACACGGCTTTTACCTGACGTGGTTCAGCTAGTATCTCTAGCCGTCATCACAGATCGCCGCTGTTGGTGGCATCACTTCCTTTTCTCCGGGGGCAGCAGAGGACGGCGTCGCCCTCTAAAGGTACTAGCTGAAACATGCTAGGTACATCCACCAATCACAATCATTCTTACTCAGGCTTGATAACCAAACTAAACACCTCGCAGGATAAACGATTCTGGTGATTCATGAAGCAGAAGAGCCTAACCAAGTCATCAGAGTACCAGCAGGTCCTAAACCCTAACCCAGTAATCAGAGTACCAGCAGGTCCTACACCCTAACCCAGTAATCAGAGTACCAGCAGGTCCTAAACCCTAACCAAGTCATCAGAGTACCAGCAGGTCCTAAACCCTAACCCAGTAATCAGAGTACCAGCAGGTCCTACACCCTAACCCAGTAATCAGAGTACCAGCAGGTCCTACACCTTAACCAAGTCATCAGAGTACCAGCAGGTCCTAAACCCTAACCAAGTCATCAGAGTACCAGCAGGTCCTAAACCCTAACCCAGTAATCAGAGTACCAGCAGGTCCTACACCCTAACCCAGTAATCAGAGTACCAGCAGGTCCTACACCCTAACCCAGTAATCAGAGTACCAGCAGGTCCTAAACCCTAACCAAGTCATCAGAGTACCAGCAGGTCCTAAACCCTAACCCAGTAATCAGAGTACCAGCAGGTCCTACACCCTAACCCAGTAATCAGAGTACCAGCAGGTCCTACACCTTAACCAAGTCATCAGAGTACCAGCAGGTCCTACACCCTAACCAAGTAATCAGAGTACCAGCAGGTCCTACACCCTAACCAAGTCATCAGAGTACCAGCAGGTCCTACACCCTAACCAAGTAATCAGAGTACCAGCAGGTCCTAAACCCTAACCAAGTAATCAGAGTACCAGCAGGTCCTAAACCCTAACCAAGTCATCAGAGTACCAGCAGGTCCTACACCCTAACCAAGTAATGAGAGTACCAGCAGGTCTGTAAACCTAACCAGGTCATCAGAGTAGCAGCAGGTGCTAAACCCTAACCAAGTAATCAGAGTACCAGCAGGTCCTAAACCCTAACCAAGTAATCAGAGTACCAGCAGGTCCTAAAGCATAACCAAGTAATCAGAGTACCAGCAGGTCCTAAACCCTAACCAAGTCATCAGAGTACCAGCAGGTCCTACACCCTAACCAAGTCATCAGAGTACAAGCAGGTCCGTAAGCCTAACCAAGTAATCAGAGTACCAGCAGGTCCGTAAGCCTAACCAAGTAATCAAGAGTACCAGCAGGTCCTAAACCCTAACCAAGTAATCAGAGTACCAGCAGGTCCTAAAGCCTAACTAAGTCATCAGAGTACCAGCAGGTCCGTAAGCCTAACCAAGTAATCAGAGTACCAGCAGGTCCGTAAGCCTAACCAAGTAATCAAGAGTACCAGCAGGTCCTAAACCCTAACCAAGTAATCAGAGTACCAGCAGGTCCTACACCCTAACCAAGTAATCAGAGTACCAGCAGGTCCTAAACCCTAACCAAGTAATCAGAGTACCAGCAGGTCCTACACCCTAACCAAGTCATCAGAGTAACAGCAGGTCCTACACCCTAACCAAGTCATCAGAGTACCAGCAGGTCCTAAACCCTAACCAAGTAATCAGAGTACCAGCAGGTCCTAAACCCTACCAAGTAATCAGAGTACCAGCAGGTCCTACACCCTAACCAAGTCATCAGAGTACCAGCAGGTCCTACACCCTAACCAAGTAATCAGAGTACCAGCAGGTCCTACACCCTAACCAAGTAATCAGAGTACCAGCAGGTCCTAAACCCTAACCCAGTCATCAGAGTACCAGCAGGTCCTAGACCCTAACCAAGTCATCAGAGTACCAGCAGGTCCTACACCCTAACCAAGTCATCAGAGTACCAGCAGGTCCTACACCCTAACCAAGTCATCAGAGTACCAGCAGGTCCTAAACCCTAACCAAGTCATCAGAGTACCAGCAGGTCCTACACCCTAACCAAGTAATGAGAGTACCAGCAGGTCTGTAAGCCTAACCAGGTCATCAGAGTACCAGCAGGTCCTAAACCCTAACCAAGTCATCAGAGTACCAGCAGGTCCTAAACCCTAACCAAGTCATCAGAGTACCAGCAGGTCCTACACCCTAACCAAGTAATCACAGTACCAGCAGGTCCTAAACCCTAACCAAGTCATCAGAGTACCAGCAGGTCCTAAACCCTAACCAAGTCATCAGAGTACCAGCAGGTCCTAAAGCATAACCAAGTCAAGAGAGTACCAGCAGGTCCTAAACCCTAACCAAGTCATCAGAGTACCAGCAGGTCCTAAACCCTAACCAAGTCATCAGAGTACCAGCAGGTCCTAAACCCTAACCAAGTCATCAGAGTACCAGCAGGTCCTAAAGCATAACCAAGTCATCAGAGTACCAGCAGGTCCTACACCCTAACCACGTCATCAGAGTACCAGCAGGTCCTACACCCTAACCAAGTAATCAGAGTACCAGCAGGTCCTAAACCCTAACCAAGTCATCAGAGTACCAGCAGGTCCTACACCCTAACCAAGTAATCAGAGTACCAGCAGGTCCTAAACCCTAACCAAGTCATCAGAGTACCAGCAGGTCCTACACCCTAACCAAGTCATCAGAGTACCAGCAGGTCCTAAAGCCTAACTAAGTAATCAGAGTACCGGCAGGTCCTAAACCCTAACCAAGTCATCAGAGTACCAGCAGGTCCTACACCCTAACCAAGTAATCAGAGTACCAGCAGGTCCTAAACCCTAACCAAGTCATCAGAGTACCAGCAGGTCCTACACCCTAACCAAGTCATCAGAGTACCAGC